CCCGGCAGAATTTTTGATTTATTGTAGAGGTGAGGTCTCGCCAAGTTGCCCAGGCGGGTCTCGAACCCGTGGGCTCAGGCAATCCACTCACCTCAGCCTCCCAAAGCGCGGGATTACAGGCTGAGCCACCGAGCCCGGTTACATTTGCATTTTTAGGGAGGCGAGAGTTGCATGCAGGCCTTGTAGGAAGCTGTGAGGCTTTTGGACACCAACTGCCTTGTGTGTGAGTTAACAGTAATGACTTCAGAACAATACGAACTGTGGTTCCAGGGAAAATAAACAAATGCTTAACGAGGCAGAAACACGGGGGAGGGTACGTTTTGAACTTTGTGGAAACCAGAATTTTAAGTCATGGTTTTGAGGCCTGAAGCCACGGCCAGGTTTACAAACTCACAGTTTGGGCGGTTTCTGAGTCCAAACAGGCCCATAAGCACACAGGCCTTATTTATTTTTTCAAAATAAGAACATAATCCGGACCCAGCAAAGAAGCAAGGAGGACCAGGAGAGCAACTACGCTCCTGGGTTGCCCTTTCTTTGCCTCAGAACTGGGAAGGGCGGGACGTCTCAGAATATATTTACAGATATTACCTAGGAGATGACTTCAGTAAGTAGCGAGCTTTAAGCATGGGTTGCCTTAAAGGAAAATATTCCATAATAATGATAACTCAGGTGGCCTTCAGTTCTGTGGCGGTCTTTTCTGGGTTTCTGGGGAACGGCCTGTCTTTGGTGCACATGCGTCCCCAGACCCCAGCGACCGCACTGGACTCTGTCTCATCTGGGGATAGGAATGGTGTGGGTCCCGGGATCCCGAGAACCGGGAAGTATCTGAGATGGCACCGGAAGGCAAGCATGACTGCTGGAAGTCACAGTCCCTGGAAAAGTTCTTTCAGAGCTCCGTGGCCTTTGGGGCAATGGTTGTGTCTGGTTCAGCAGGGACAGGGTGAAAATTTTAAATTGGCGCCAACATTGAAAAACAGGAAATGTTCACAGTTTTCCAGTTTTTCTTGAGAAGTTCCTCCTGACCCCAACTGGCTGGAGCTGGCGGTGGCGGTCCCCTTTCTGTTAGACACTCTGTCCCCACAGCCTTCTTGACCCTTCCGAGCAACTTGCAGGCTGCACAGGGCGTGGTAGCCACGTGGGCTCTGGGGCCAGACGGCCTGGGCTCCAACCCCAGTTCTGATCCCTTCTGTGGTGACCTTGGGCAACCACCTAACCTCTTTGAGTCCAAGTTCCTTGTCTATAAAACAAGTCAATAAGCCGGGCTTGGTGGCTCAGCCTATAATCCCGCGGCTTGGGAGGCTGAGGTGAGTGGATTGCCTGAGCCCGCGGGTTCGAGACCCGCCTAGGCAACTTGGTGAGACCTCATCTCTACAATAAATCAAAAAAATTAGCCAGGCGTGGTAGCGCGCGCCTGTAGTTCCTGCTACTTAGAAGGCTGAGGCGGAAGGATCGCCGGAGCCCAGCAGGTCGAGGCTGCGGT